TTTGTGTCCCAGTATGTGATCTGTTCTGGAGAACATTCCACGTGCACTGGAGAAGAATGTGTATTCTGCTGCTTTAGGATGAAATGTTCTGAATATATCTGTTAAGTCCATCCGGTCCAGTGTGTCATTCAAAGCCATTGTTTCCTTGTTGATTTAGTAACTGTGCCATTTTATATTCTCACCAGCAGTGCACAGGGTTCCAGTTTCTCCACATCCTCAGCTACACTTATTTTCCTTTTTTAAAAAATATATAGGGGTGCCTGGGTGACTCAGTCGGTTGAGTGTCTGACTCTTGATCTTGGTTCAGGTCATAATCTCATGGTTGCATGAGTTTGAGCCCCACATTGGGCTCTGTGCTGGCAGCGTGGAGCCTGCCTGGGGTTCTCTCTCTCCTCTCTTTCCTCTCTCTCTTCTCTCTCTCTCTACCCCTCCCCTGCTCATACTGTGTCCTCCCTCAAATAAACAAAAAAAAATTTTTTTAATGCATATAATAGTCATCTTAATACGTGTGAAGTGATAACTGTGATTATTACTTATTTCATCTTTTAGTTGTATTAATTTAGTAAAAACCTCCTATGATGGTAGATTTGAAAATTTGTTGTAGTTCTAACAGTGTTTTCTTTATATTTGAGTCTATTTTATAAGTTACATTTGACCCTTGACCAACATGGGTTTGAACTGCATGGGTCCACTTATATTCAAATTTTCTTCAATAAATAAATATAGTGTAGTACTGTAAATGTATTTTTTCATGGTTTTCTTAATCACATTTTTTTCTAGCTTACTGTATTGTAAGATTATAGTATATAATACACATAATGTACAAAATATATGTTAATCAACTGTATGTCAACACTAGGCTCTCAGTAGTTAAGTTTTGGGGGAATCCAGATTTATACGTGAATTTTTGACTGTATGGGGAGTCAGTGCCCTAAACCCCCCTGCAATATTCAAGGGTCAACTGTATTGCCAAGTTTAAAATTGTGATGAATTATTATCATGGTGGATTTGAATTGCAGTGAATTGAACCATTTAGTATTTACATAATTACTTTCTCTATTCTTACTGTGCTTCCTGACTTAACATTTTTTTTTTTTTTTGGTCTGATATTAATTTTTCTATGCCATCTTTCTTTTGGTTAGTATTTTCAAAATATATACTTTTCACCTTTCTTTACACATCTTTTTATTCCTTTTTACTTAGCATTATGAAATAAACATTTTCACTCTGAATAATTTTCTTAATTTTTAATGTTACAGTAATTTCTGCGATCAATCCACTGTTGTTGAATATTTTTTTGATAGTCTTCATTTTTTAAATTTTGTTTGCTCTTGAATGACATCATGTATACCTTGTGTATATAGTTTTTTGTTGTTGGATACTTTTCATTTGGATGAATTCTTGGAAATAGGATTATTGGCTTTCTTAGGTATATACATTTTTTTGCGGGGAGGGGGGACCTTTGATGCTGCCATATTGCTTTTCTGAGGAGTGGCACCTGTTTTTCATTCATGCCACCAGCACTATTTAAATGTCTGCTAGACACCATTGATCATAAGGTACACCATCATTTTATGAATTGCTAAAAAAGAAAAACTTTCTGTTAACTGACACAATACTTTTTTATTTTGAATTTTTATTGAATACTTTCTAGAAGATATCTTCTAGGTGCAGGTAGACATGGATTTTTATCATAATCACTTTTTTCTTTTTAATGTCATATCACTCTTGAATATACATGCTAGAAGGAAAAAATAAGCCAATTAAAATGTTTAGGGTATTTCAAAGCTTTACACTTGACGTGCAGTTCTTCTATGTTATTTTTGTTTTTTCAATTTATTTATTAGAGAGAGAGCAGGGAGGGGCAGAGAGAGAGGAAGACAGAGAATCCCAAGCAGGCTTCCCACTGTCCGTGCAGAGACTGATGCGGGGCTCAAACTCATGAAGTGTGAAATCATGACCTTAGCCAAAGTCAGACGCTTAACCGACTAAGTGCCCTTTCTGTGTTATTTTTTGGCCCAAAGTTGTTGTCTTTATTTTTCTACACTATACATTAAGAATGTTGGTGATAGCAAAAAAACCTTAATAACCCAATTAAAAAATGGGCTGAAGACTTGAATAGAGATTTCTCCGAAGAAGATGTACAAAGGGCCAACAGGTATATGGATAGTGCTTAGTGTCACTCATCATCAGGGAAATGCAAATCAAAACCACAACGAATGGGAGTGCCTGGGTGGCTCAGTCAGTTAAGGGTCCAACTTCGGCTCAGGTCATGATCTCATGATGTTTATAGGTTCATGGGTTCGAGCCCTACCCGATATCAGGCTCTGTGTTGACAGCTCAGAGCCTGGAGCCTGGAGCCTGCTTTGGATTCTGTGTCTCCCTCCCTCTCTGCCTCTCCCTGTTCGTGTGTGCACTCGCTCGCTCTCTCTCTCAAAAGTAAACATTAAAAAAAAACCCACAATGAACGATTACCTTACACCTGTTAGAATGACTAGTATCAAAAAGTGTTGGCGAATGCTGAGAAATTGGAACCCTTGTACACTGTTGCTAGGAGTGCAAACTGGTGCAGCTGCTATGGAAAACACTATGGAGGTTCCTCAAAAACTTAATGGTCCATATGATCCAGTAATTCCACTTCTGAGTATTTAAACAGAATTGAAATCAGGATCTTGAAGAAGCACTTACACATTCATTGTAGCACTATTCATAATAGCCAGGTATGGAAACAACTTAAATGTCTATCTGTGGAGGAATGGATAAAGAGAATGTGGTATGTACGTACAAGGTATTATTTAGCCTTAATAAAAAGAAATCCCGTGGGGCGCCTGACGTCGAGTGTCCAACTTCGGCTCAGGTCATGATTTCACAGCTTGTGGGTTCGAGCCCCACGTCGGGCTCTGTGCTGACAGCTCAGAGCCTGGAGCCTGCTTTGGATTCTGTGTCTCCCTCTCTCTCTGGCCCTAACCCACTCACATTCTGTCTCTGTCTCAAAAACATTAATTTTTTTTTGAAAAATAAATAAATAAATAAATAAATAAATAAATAAATAAATAGAAATCCCATAATATGTAACAACATGGATGAACTTGGAGGAAATTATGCTAAGTGAAATAAACCAGTCACAAGGACAAGTAATGTATGATTCCACTCACAAAGATATCTAAAATTGTCAAACTCATAGAGGCAGGGAGTAGAATGGTGGTTACCAGGGATTGGAGAGGGTAAATGAATTATTAATCAGCAGATAAAAAGTTTCAGTTAAGTAAGATATATAAGTTTTGGAGATAATGCTGTGCAGCATTGTGCCTGAGTTAACAATACTGCATTATACTCTTAAAAATCTGTGAAGAGGGGAGATCTCGTGTTAAGTGTTCTCGTCACAGTAAAAAACTTTTTCCTGAATGTTGGTGATAGAGCGTTTCTTATGAGTGGTTAATAGTAATCACAAGATGCTCTGAATTTTAAAATGATACGGATGTCAGATATCTTTTTTTATTTTTATTTTTTTTATTTAAAAAAAATTTTTTTTAACGTTTATTTATTTTTGAGACAGAGAGAGACAGAGCATGAACAGGGGAGGGGCAGAGAGAGAGGGAGACACAGAATCTGAAACAGGCTCCAGGCTCTGAGCTGTCAGCACAAAGCCCGATGCGGGGCTCGAACTCATGGACCGCGAGATCATGACCTGAGCCAAAGTCGGACGCCCAACCGACCAAGCCACCCAGGCGCCCCGGATGTCAGATATCTTAAAATGTGAAAGGTTTCATTCTAGAATCACTAAAGTATGATGATTTCACTTCACTATAATCTTATTGTCATTTAATGTTTTTCCTTAACCCAGTGAAATCTAAAAATGCCACGCATACAAATTTTAACTTGCATTTTTGTTGTTAATCAAGGTGGATATTTTTCAGTGTTGTAGGAATATTATTTTAGTAATTGTTAAGATCTTTCATATTGAAATTAAAGGTGAGATTATAGTTTCTCATTCAAGTTTACCAAGGTTTTCCTCAAAGGGAGACCATGTAATGTAGATATTACTTGATTTTGTTAAAATGTAATTGAAAAAGTACTGCTCTCTGGAACTGGCATTTATGACATGTGTTAAGCAGTCATTCTTGAACTGGTTTATAAGAATCACCGGGGAGCCTGTTAGAGTTTGAGTAAGGCAGTGTGGAGTGAGGTGTAGGAATCTGTATTTGTCACAGGCACCCCAGGTGATTACCATGCTCATGGACCATGTTGAGAAGGTGCAGAAGATTGAGACAGAGCTGTGGATTTTCTCTTTGGGGATACTGGCTGGAAATTTCTAGAGGTAGAATACTTGATTAGAAAGCCATGGAAACTTGTTAATAAATAGTTTTTAATTTTAGGAGGTGAGGCATTTCAGTGTATTGAATGTGAAGGGTCTGGCACGTCTAGGTTCTTGAGCAGGAGAACTGCATGGTAAATCTGGATTGTTGAATGTTACAGGTAATTCTGTCTTTAACAGTGTGAAAGAGAAAAATGGAGTTTTTGTTGAGATGATTCTTTTTTATTGCTAATTGCTTCATTTCAAGGCTTTCTCAGTTCCTCTTTTCTTTAGCGTAGACTGAGATTAGGCTAAGAAAGGTTTGATCAGTTAAGTGGATTGTTAACTTCATGAAAGAGGTGGTGTTCATTCTTATACCTGTAGTCTCCAAAACAGTGCTTGGCATGTAGTAGGCATTTAGTAATATTTGTTGAGTGTATGAATATGCATAACAGTTTACATGTCAAGTACCCTTCAGGGAGTAACAGTTTGTTCTGAATCTCTTAGTTATCTGTCCAAAGTTGTTGCAGTTGAGTCTAACATAGAATTTGTATTAAACCTACTATGGATTTTTAATTGAGGTTTATCATTAAAATCGTGTGAATAACTATATCAGATTCTTTCCGTGTAAATTACATCTTAAGTTTTTGTAATTGCTATTACAAATAGAGCTTTTGTATTAAAAGCATTTTTATTTTTCATTTAGGAGTTAACAGAGCAGTTTCATCAAGTTGAATCCCAGCTGAATAAGTTGAATCATCTTCTTACTGATGTTCTTGCTGATGTGAAGACAAAAAGAAAAACTTTGGCATCTAATAAACTGCATCGAATGGAAAGAGAATTATATGTATATTTTTTAAAAGACGAAGATTATCTGAGAGATATTGTGGAGAACTTAGAAAACCAATCAAAGATTAAAGTTGTTGGTCTGGAAGATTGAAGATTATTAAAAACGGAATCTTTACTACATATGCTATGTTTTAATGTTTTCTATATTAGGGGGAAAACATAGCTAATAAACACTACTAAAATTTTAAATTTGAGGTCAATGGAACATTTCATTTAATTAATTCAAGTATTGTATCAGTTTGGTTTTTTCCCTCATATAGTATATTTATTCAAAGTACCAGTGCTTTCTATGACTTGAACATTTGCTTGGTGGGACCTAGTTCTGATATCTTTTTACTTACAGGGAAAAAGCATTATTACGTAATGCAAATATTTCTTAATAGAATCAGTTCAGTCGCTTTTACTTTTTTTTTTTTTAGAAATAGAAAATTTCTACTGTGAAACATTTTAAACCTTTGTAGAACTTTGAATCAGCATTGTTAAACCCTAAGGTGTTAAACACCTTAATATGGAATAGCCAAGTACCCTCGTATTTGACTATAAAGTAAAATTCTATAAAGTAAAATACTCAAACTGTATCCCCCCGTAATTCCCTGCTGTAGACTTTGAGACTCTGAATGTTCCTATTTGTTCCACAAAGAATGTTGGGTATCCATTGGCCATTGTTCATTTTAGCATCTGGGTCCTGGGGACTTAGAATTTCTGCAAGACATCTTAGTGCTTTGACTTCAGTATGACACATTATGAATGATTTTTAAATGAAATTTGAAAATGCCATAGAAGTGGTTGCTCAAAGGATGTATAGTCTATTTTACCTGTTTTTCTGGAGGGAGAATACTTAAATGTTAGATTGTATCAGTTGGGGTACAAGTGTATTATTTGGACCATTAGAAATTATTTTGAGTGGGATAAAATAATTTGAAATAGCTAATTTATCAGTCATGACATCAAGTGTTTCTTGAGTGCTTGATTTATAAGTGGCCTGTTACATACTATGTAAGCTCTGCAGAGGAAAAGGAGAATCTGGATATTCAAGGAATATTCCTTATTCAAGAATATTCCTGCTCCAGAATATATTACTTTTTAATATGGAATGCTAGTCTAAAAACTACACTTTTGTGGAATTTTTTAGCTATAACCATCAGAACATGGGTATGCTTAGGTGACAGATAAGCCCTCATAATTTTTATAACCTGTTGAACAAAATTATTTTGCCAATTATTATATTTGTACATTATTTTAAAATGTATATTTATTGGGGCGCCTGGGTGGCGCAGTCGGTTAAGCGTCCGACTTCAGCCAGGTCACGATCTCGCGGTCCGTGAGTTCGAGCCCCGCGTCGGGCTCTGGGCTGATGGCTCGGAGCCTGGAGCCTGTTTCTGATTCTGTGTCTCCCTCTCTCTCTGCCCCTCCCCCGTTCATGCTCTGTCTCTCTCTGTCCCCAAAATAAATAAATGTTGAAAAAAAAAATTAAAATGTATATTTATTAATTAGATCTAAATATGCTTGAAAATTTCTAACAATCTTGTCTAAGATTTTTCTCTTAGCTCCTCATGGGTGACTTTTATTCCTTTTTTTTCTTTCTCTATTCCACAGTGGAATAGAGAATTTACTTAAAATTTTTCTTTTCTCCAGTAATGTGCGAAAATATGTCACCCAGTTTCCTGGCTCATGGAACAGCACATTCTGTTTAGATTAGTGCCATGTGTGTTAGATGTATGACCAGCTACTTGATGATTTGTACTGTCCCTTCCACACCTTCGCCCACTCAGCCCAGGGGCGAGTACAGCTGAGAGGTGTGCATGGAATGATGTCAGGTTGTGTGTCTATCATAATTACCCAAGTCCATTAAAAATGTTGATGTTACTAGATTTGTACAGTTGAAGATTATAACAGCCATTTGTTTCAAACCTCAGGAAGTATATGAATAGATTGCTTGCTTCCAAATTGGTTAACTAGAAATTGTATGCTTTGTTACCTGTTTACCATAATATTCCAGTTGAGTCTCTAACCATTTTGCCTCCTTCTTGCTATTCTATTGTATCGGTAACTATGGAGATAATTGATTCCTATTTTACGTGGTCATTACAGAGAGTGATTTTTATGAATGTCTCTGTATGTAACATTTTTCAAATAACTTCTTATTTTGAAGTAAAATTAATATATGGATATTATGTTTATCTTACGTTTAGGATTTATGAAAATGGAAAATTATGAGGCATTTGTAGGCTTTGATCCCTGTAAGATACCGCTTTCCAGTGTTGCTCAGAAGATTATGTCTGCTGTGTACTCAGGTGACTTAGTGGCGTCTAAGCATTGGAGAGGGGTGAAAAGAGTGAGTAATTTTTATGAATCTGTCTTTAGTTACCTTAACTAAGGTTTGAAAATGAGCCAGCAGAATTATTCTAAGGAACTTTATATTGTGTAAGAAGCTTTGCTACAAACAAATGGAGTCCTGCTCCCCTTGGTTTCCTCTCATTCAGTGATAACTGACCTGCTGCTCGCTAGACCTCACATTCTCTTAACCCTTAACCCTTTAAAATTTCTTTTCAATATTTATTTTTGAGAGAGAGAGACAGAGCACGAGCAGGGGAGGCGCAGACACAGAATCCAAAGCAGGCTTCAGGCTCTGAGCTGTCAGCACAGAGACTGATGCAGGGCTCAAACTCACGAACCATGAGATCATGACCTGAGATCAAGTCAGACGCTTAACTGACTGAGCCACCAGGCGCTCCAGCCCTTAATGCTTTAAAACGTAGCACTCTCTTCCTTGTTCCAGGCATTTATGCCAAACATTTCCTGAGAATCTGCACTGGCTGTGTAAGTGACCTCAGAAGAGATGGGCTGTTTCACGGTGCCCCCGGCTTCAGCCTTAGCTCTTGGGTCATTGAACGTACATTCACATAGTATTTGCTTACTATGTGTGGCAGACCAGAGAGGTGTTTTTGACAGTGTGTGTATTATGCTGCCAGAGAAATGAATAAATTCCTAGGTGGCAAAGATCGACAGATACGTGTATATGCATTTATGGCATCATATATAGCAGCAGTGACATACGCTCACAAGTATGACTGAAATATTTGGAGCACCAGTTATTTTTTTTACTAGCAAAGCTGTCTTGTTTTTTAATATTTAAGTCGGCCAATTTGTTGTTTCTTTTCCACAGAGTAAGTTATATGTGAATGAGATATAATTGAGTAATTGTGATGAAATAATTGAGAGTATTGAAAAATTGTGCAAAAGCTATATACGTGCAGTTTCTCGAAGATATAGGTAACACTTAACATTTAGATTTGTTCATATTCAGGTCTCTGTTGCTCATGAGCCTCGTTAGAGTAGAAGTCATTAATAAATGAACTGGTAAGAATTTTTGGGTATGGACTACCTACCTAGAAATTTTGATAGTGTTTTGGGGAGTGGTGGGGGGGGCATACAGTAAGGAAGATAAATACTTAAATATCAAAGAGCTTTCTTCTTTATCCTGTATAGTTTCTAAAATAAAAAAGCAGTGTGTACTTGACAGGTAGAAATGTACTTCCCTTTGAAAACCGATAGGAATAAAAAATGATAGAAATAGTAAAATGTCTCTGGTAGCTTCAGTGTGAGTCTGTTGAGAAAGATTTATGGCCATCAGTCTATCTTGTGAACTCTGGTCGTGTTCTTATACCCTATAAAATTCTAGTTTTCATACATTTATTGAGAGGTAGTAGGAAAAGATAAAGGTATTTTTCTGTCAAATGTTACTAGATTTGGAAAAATAGTGGAATTTTCATATGGATTCTGTGTTGTCTGTTGCTACATAACACCCTTGCTACCAACTTAGCAACTTAAAACAACCCACATTGGGGCGCCTGGGTGGCGCAGTCCGTTGGGCGTCCGACTTCAGCCAGGTCACGATCTCGCGGTCCGTGAGTTCGAGCCCCGCGTCAGGCTCTGGGCTGATGGCTCAGAGCTTGGAGCCTGTTTCCGATTCTGTGTCTCCCTCTCTCTCTGCCCCTCCCCCGTTCATGCTCTGTCTCTCTCTGTCCCAAAAATAAATAAACGTTGAAAAAAAAAATTAAAAAAAAAAACAAAAACCCACATTTGTTATCTCCCAGTGTCTGTGGGTCAGGAGCTGGGCACAATTTAGCTTCATCCTCTGCTGGGCTACAGTGCAGAGGTGTGAGCCGGGGTTATGGTCTCATCTGAGGCCCGAATGGGGAAGCATTTGCTTCCAGTGCACATGGTTGTTGGCAGATTCAGTTCCTTGTAGGCTTTTGGACTGAGGGCTTCGGTTGGCTGTTGGCTCTAAGACACCTTCAGTTCCTTTTCACGTGGTTCTCCTTAGGCCTAGCTTTACGTGATAGCAGCTTGCTTTTTCCCTAACAAGAGTGGCGTCATAGTTGTCTGCAGAGTAATTGGGAACATCTTGTCACCGTTGCTGTACTCTGTGGGTTAGAAGTGAGCCAGTAAGTCTCACCCACACTCAAGGGTGTGAGTACTAGGAAGGAGGGGTCTTGGGACTACCCTGGAATTTGTCTGCCACAGAGTCTCACCAGTTTCTTATTTCGTATGGATTGGATTAAATTGGTTGCTGGTGGGTTATTGATGAATGATGCTGGACCTAAGACCTAGTTAATTCCTGGACCCTTGTCACATGCTGAGTTGTTACTGCATCAGACCCTTACCTCTTACAAGTAAAATACCGTATTCAGTGTCTCATTTCTAAAACCCATTTCATACCAAATAAATATAAAAATTGAACTCCTAAATCAGTGAGAATAACTACAAGTATTTGTTACTACAAACAAGTAACACCGAACAGCATTACCATTACACGTCACTTCAGGGTCTGCATTTCTGATGTGCTACACTGAGGGATCTCGCGATACACATGCAGTAAAGGTTGGATTACATATATCTTCTTGCTGCGAGATTGATCATTATTTAAAAACCCTTTGCTGTGAGAAACAAAATATGCAAAAACTTAAACTACAGTTTAATGAATTAATATGAAGAGGACATCCTTGTAATTGCATCTTCAAAACCTCAACATTTCCTTCTCAATTAAAACTCCCTCCTGCTCAGAGGTAACCATCATCCTGACTGGCAGTCACCTCCACTTCCTGATGATGGGCATTTTCTCCAGAGGCTTTTTTGGCAGAGATTATGTGTATGCAACACCAGTGTGTCCTGGGGAGCAGGATCAGGCTGC